TTTATAAACCATAAAATAAATAGGAGCTGAAAATACTTGGGAAAATAGCGGAAACTTTTCATAAATAGTTTTAACAAATACTTAGAATAAAGTGTAATTTCTTAAAACAAAGCCCTAACACTTGGGCGAACCTCAATCATAAAATCTTAATATGAATCTCCAGTCTGTGCTCATAATCATAAAATGAAATAACTAAAAAGTTTCTAATGATGCCGCTTATTGAAAACTTTGACTAGGCATCCTCCGTTATGTGCGAATCGTCCTCCTCTAGCTGGCTTGCCTTGAACCGTTCTCTCGATCTCGCTACTTTCTAACTGCTCCTCTAACTAGCTGATATCGAGCTGGTTCTCGCTCATTCTTTTACTAAGGCCTGGTGAGTGAGATGAGGTCAGTCTACGCCCGTACGTTTTAAAATTTCTACTACTTAACACTTTACTTAAAACACTTACTTAAATTGGTGGAAGTTGTTTGTACTTCCACTCTTAAAAACTCTTTAACTTTTAAAGTTGTATGGGAGTTACTGTTACTCTCCATTCTTAGAACTTAAATCTCAACTTGAACTTTTGACTGACACTGGGATCCCTCACTAGCTAATTCGGTTGCCCAACTCATACGTATGAGAAGTCATATAGGCTTTCCTTAAACTTAAACTTAGTTAGGGAAGTCGTAACGATTCACCCCCCCTAACATCTTAAACTTATCGTGGTGGCTCTTCACCACGATTCTCAAGAGCATAACTGCTACTCTGTCTCGAAGATCTCAAATGGCAATGGACTGACGCTAGTAACTAAAAACAATTAAAACGACTTCACCTTCTTAAAGGTGAGTTACTTCTTAAAAGTACTTGTTTCTTAAACTTGAACTTACTTGTAAGTAAAGCATGCAATAACATACAACTGAAAGCATATTCGCACAAACTCACATGGCATCATAGAAACACACAAATGCAAGTATAGCACATAGAAATCCATCTCTATTTCATGCTCAAGCTTCCATCTCTTATAAGATTATCTCGTACTCCTTTCCTGAAAATGGCCACAAAGGCACCCATGTAACATACTCAATTATTGAGTCCATTTGATATGCGACTTGGACTTCAAATCAAAAGTCCGATACACACGAATCCCCATATCATTACACATTGGAATATATTTGCTTCACTTCTCCCAACCTCGTTAGCTTAATTGCCAGTACCTTTAACCACTCAGATATACACCACAAAATACAAGTGACCTATATTAATTCCAACCCCACAATCAAATCCATGTAATCATGGAATTCACTAAGGCCTTGTTTGATTTAGGGGTTTCATCATGGATTTGGTGCACAAAACCCAAACCTCATAGAAATGGAACAAAATCCACTGTTTGCTTCAAGGTTTTAGGGGGGAGATAAATCTGTGGCCCCACGGACTTGTAAATTCCATCTCAATGTGTGGGATTTGGGTGAGGGTGGGAAGTCCATGATGAGACTTTACTCTTTTCTCCCCACTAATTATTAATAACAAATTGGTCCTCTTTATTTTTGCTAACCCTTTAGACTAGAGATAAAAGAGACCTGGGAAGAAGTGGAAAAACGTGAAGGAACACGAAGAAGATGGTGGAATGTGCTTGGACTTAACAAGCATCAATTTGTGAGAAAAAGAAAGACGAAAATTCTATAATTGTAGGGTACATCAACTAGTTTAATGATGTGTGGTAAGTTGTATTTGCCTATTTGGAGTAAGTGGGTATTGGTTAACAAACTAACAATGATTGAAGCACTTTGTTTAAAACCGACGATTAGTTTATGCTCAATATTTCAAATATTCTATTGATTTCATGTTTGTTTGCATATATGATAGCTCTGAGATCTTGAAATCTTGGAGAGGTACAAAGAAATTCTAAACGACTTTGTTTAATATGGAAACAATAATATACAACTAATTATAAACAAGGGCAACAAGGTCAATGGTATCTCATACCCACTAATATATTTCAGCAAAATCCATTATGAAAACCAACAAGCAAATAAGGTTTTGTTCCAAATCCATAATCGACCAATTTCATCATAAATCCTTGATTTTATAAAACCCAGGTTTTAACCAAAGCCCTCATTTTTCAAACCCATTAAGCAAACGAGTCCTAAAAGGAAAAGCTTCCATGTTAGGCCATTGTCAAATCACGTGTCTCAACTCCATGCACAACGGTCCAAATTAGTGATTTTGCAAGACGTGTATAAAAATCATACGCCAAAACACTTATCATTAAGCAAGACATGCATGTTTTCCACCTGGACCCTAGGATGGAACCATTCCTGAAGATGCATACCTTTGTTAAATTCCCTCAATAATTTACCAGAAAAGTTTATTGGTGTTACTTGGCTCATGACAGGAGACTTCAACTCAATTTCGAGTTCAGAGGACAAGCAATGAGGTGCTCCATTCAACTTTGCTAGAGTGAGATCTTTCACAGATTGTATTGATGATTGTGGTCTAGTGGATCTTGGCTTTTCGGGACCAAGGTTCACATGGTTTACTAAGTCGTCCATACTTAAGGAAAGGATGGATCGTAGTCTTAGCAACCTGGAATGGCGACAACAGTTCCGCAGGACGACACTCTTCAACCTCACGTAGCTTAAATCTGATCATCGGCCTATTTTGACTTGCACAACAAGTCTCCCCTCCAGTAATAGACTGGTGAAACGCTTCCAATTTCTTTCTCCCTAGCTTGCTCGTGAAGATTTCTCTACCTTCCTTCTTTCTTCGTGGAATCTTGGTTTTGATTTTCCCTCCTCCTTGCATGTTCTTTATGAGAAGCTCACTGTGTGGCACAAGGAGATCTTTGGAGAAGGAGAGGCAAACTCGAGAGGAGCTGGAGGACACTCTGTGGCAGGAAGAGGTTCTCTGGATGCAAAAGTCCAGAGCGAACTGGTTTGTCTTTGGAGACAAGAATTATAGGCTTTTACAGCAAAGCAGACTGAGTGGAAGGAAAATGAACATGATTACCAGCCTCAAAGATGGATTGGAAAAATGGATCCCTCATCCTGATTCACTCCTCTCGACAGCTAGATTGTTTTATGTGGAGTTGTTTACCAAGGAGGAGAAGGAACATCGTCCTCATCTCCCTGCAAACTTTTCGGAGTTGGCCTCTTCGCTGCTCAATAACCTTGGAGCCCCCTTCCTTTGAAGGAAGTCAGAGAAATTATTATGGACATAAAAGGCCTCAAAGTGCCGGGAAAATATGGTTTTCACGCTATCTTCTTCTAGAATTGTTCGGATGTCATTGGAAGGGAGGTTTTTCTTTTCATATTTGGTTTCTTTATTAATCCTAGTAAGATAAGATCCCTGAACCAAACTTTACTTGCTTTAATTCCTAAAGTTGAGGCTCTTGCCTCCATCAGTCAGTTTCGTCCCATTAGTCTTTGCAATATGGATTACAAGGTGGTGGAAAAAATGATTGCCAACAAGCTCAAATCGTTGATGCCCCACATGGTTCACCCTAATCAATCCAATAGAGACACCACTGATAATATCCTTATTTTGCAGGAGACAGTCCATTTCATGGTCAGGAAAGGAGGGAAGAAGGGTACCATGTTCCTGAAGGTGGACTTAGATAAGGCATACGACAGAATCGACTGAGAATTCCTTGAAGAAACTTTAATCTTGACTGGTATTCCCTCCCAATTTTTCAAACTCATCATGCAGTGCGTGACTTTGGTGGAGATGTACGTTCTTTGGAACGGAGGAGAGACGAAAGCTTTCACCCCCACCAGGGGATTCCAGCAGGGATGTCCCATCTCCCCTTATCTTTTTACCCTTTGTGTTGAAAGATTGAGCCATATTATTGATAGAAATGTTAGGGATAAAAAGTGGAAACCTGTCTTGCTGTCTGCTGGTGGCCCTCCCTTTACTCACCTGTTCTTCGCAGACAACCTTATTATGTTTGCTGAAGCCAGTGTTGAGCAGGCTGAGTGCATTTTGTCTTGTCTGAATGACTTTTTTGAAGTCTCAGGAGAACATATGAGCAAATACTAAGTTGGGAGAACTTCTCCGAGAATACTAAGTTGCATACTAGAGCTAATATATGTTCTAGTTTAGGTATCCAATCCACGAACGACCTTGGAAAATACCTTGGTATACCTGTTATCCATGGCAGGCTGACCAAACTTACTTACAATTATATTTTGGATAAGATTAACAGTAAGATGACAGCTTGGAAATCCCTCACCCTTTCTCTTGCTGGTCGGGTCACCTTTGCCAAGGGTGTTCTGGAAGCTATTCCCTCGTATGCAATGCAAACAACCCTTTTGCCTGCTTCTTTGTGTGACACTATTGATAGGAAAATCAGGTGGTTTGTTTGGGAGTCTCAAGTGGGGAAAAGAAATGTGCATTTGGTTTCCTGGGAACAATTTATAAGCCAAAAAACCGAGGAGGCCTTGGCCTTAGATATGCTAGGAGTCTCAATCTTGCGTACATTGTTAAACTGGCTTGGCAAATTATGAATAATGAAAATGACTTGTGGGTTCAGGTGATGCAGAGCAAGTATTTCCACCACAGGGAAGGCATAATTACGACCATGAAAACCCGCAATCACTCCAACATGTGGAAAGCCATTCTTAAGGCAATGCCTGTGATGAGAAGAGGGATGGCGTGGATGGCGCATTATCGTTTCTAATGCGTCGAGAGAACAAATCTACTTTACTTCTACTCCTACGAATACTACTAAACTGATTTATTATTCATTGACGTATCAAACCAAAGAACAACGTACATATTTATAGGACTATCTCACAAACCCTTTTCCTCTCAAACCAGATAAATTAATCCTATCCCAACAAGTAAACACTAACTTCTTCAACAAGACACAATAAACTAATACGAATAACAATAATGACCCAAAAATTAACTAATAATAATATCTAATTACTAAGCTCAACTCGGCACTACGGCCCACTGGTGCTATAATGCACCAAACCTCCTCCCTTTGAAGAACTTCATCCCCGAAGTTCAGGCGTCATCTTCAACCTGGATCGATGAAGAAGAATCGTTCCCACGTATTGATGACAACAAAGAGAGTGGATTCCCGTCGAAACCGATCTCGTTTATGACGCTTCCAATTAGGTTCGGGTACTTGAACGACCCCAACACCTGCAACTCTTTCTTCATTCCGCCTTCCCATGCATGGAATGAAATTCCCCATGCATTCCTTCTCCCACATCACATTTGAGTGCAATATTAAAGGATTTTCGAAGGGAAGTTTGGTTCCCATGCCATTTGAGCGATTCACCCGCATAACCAAACCCCAATTCTCCACCTGCAGTCGTTCACATCCCCCAACTCTCGTCGTCTCCTGAACTCGTCTCGTCGGGGAGGGAGATCTTGTTGCGTCGTCCTCGGAACTCGCAGGAACACCTCCATCCATGTGCTCCGACCTCGCCACAGAGGACCCAAGCTCGCCGGCCCAACTCCATACAAAAAAACTCTGATCAATCCTCCCGTTCTTGGACCGATACAACGGTGAACCGGATTATCGTTTCTAATGCGTCGAGATAACAAATCTACTTTACTTCTAATCCTACGAATACTACTAAACTGATTTATTATTCATTGACGTATCAAACAAAAGAACAACATACATATTTATAGGACTATCTCACAAACCCTTTCCCTCTCAAGCAAGGTAAACTAATCCTATCCCAACAAGTAAACACTAACTTCTTCAACAAGACACAATAAACTAATACGAATAACAATAATTACCAATAATTAACTAATAATAATATCGAATTACTAAGCCCAAATCGGCACTACGGCCCACTGGTGCTATAATTCACCAGTGGAACATAAGGGATGGAAAATCAACATGCTTTTGGAATTATACGTGGTTGGACCAGGACACTATGCTCGAAGACTTCGCTCTTGTGGATCTTTCCGATGAGGAGAAGTACTCTTGCGTGGCATATTGGACTACCAGAGATGGTGAGAAGGACTGGGAGAGACTTAAGGATTATCTCCCTAATGAGGTTTTGGTTCGTATTGCAGTATTGGAGGCCCTTAGACTAGAGCTTGGAGAGGACAAAACGAACCGGGGAATGGAGAAGGATAGGGGGTTCAGGTAAGGTCTTCCTATGATCTAGTGGATGGCGCGACGGAGGACATGCCTGGGGAAGTTTGGAGCGACCTCTCGAGATGGGATAGCCCAAACCGAGTCAAGCTATTGCTATGGTTGGTCTCACACAACAGACTACTCACCAACGCAGAGAGAAAGAAACATCAGATTGCTTAGAATGGAAGCTGCAACCATTGCACCTGGGAGGAGGAGACTGTGGAGCATATCTTAAAGAAATGCAAGAAGACTAAGGGATTCTAGATCCACTTCAACAACAATATTAAAGAATAGAACAATGACATCGTTTTCAGACAGTGGATTCACGAAAATACCAAAGCTGTTGACACAGGAGTTGATTTCAACATTCTGCGTTGGTTTGTCTGGAAACAATGAAATGAGGAGGTCTTGGATGGAAAGAAGTACTCTAAAGAAGGTTTGATTTACAAAGCCAATGCTTGGCTTAACATTCATCGACAAGCAAAAGACAATGCTTAAAAGAGCCTTGTGGTGAGCAACTTGGTTCAAACGGAGGAGCTTGGCTATACTCTACCAAGGGAAGGCTGGATTCAAGTACAAGAAGATGACTCGGTGAAGGGAGCTACCAACATGGTTTTTGCAGGTGGCGTGATCAGGGATTTTGTTGGGCGTTGCTTAGATCCATTTGCTTGCAATTTATGGGCTTGCTCCATTATTAGGTTGAACTTAAGGGAGCTGTTGTTAGCCTTGAAAGAGCATCGCAACTTGGTTTCAGGAAGATCGAGCTCAACCTCGACTCCACTACTGCGATCAACATCGTGAAGAACTGGCAGGTAGGGATGGCAGTGGATTGGGTTGGGTTTTGCCAAACTCAAATCAATGGTTATATCTGTAAAAAAAAAATCCAGGGTAAAACCCAATGGGTTTGAGAAACTCAAACTCACCTAACCCGCTGGGTATCCGCAGGTTCATGGATACCCACGGGTTCTGTGCTAAAAAAATGCGCAATAACAAGTTCTGGTAAAAAAAGTCTGATATCAATCCACCCATACAAATTATCTATACAAAAAACACTAATCTAGAACATACAAGCAAACCACAAATTATTCATACAAATTGTTTGACATTAAAGATAAACATCCATAAACAAGATTAATTAAAAGCTTCTTACTACTTGAGAACTTGAAGATTGTCATCTTAACTTCACTCTCCACTCCATAATATCAAATAATTTATCAACTTCGTTATACACAATTAGAAAGAACAAATTAGACATGTTTTTACAATCATAAGGAAGATTAGTTGCTTAATGCAGATAACATCCGAAGCTTGTAGATTATGGCTTGGAAGAATTGGTTTATGGTTGTGGGCGAGTATCCATGGGTTGGATAACCCTAAACCCAAACCCAACCCAACCCATGAATAGTATACCAGGTTGAAGCCTAAACCCGGCCCAAAAACCCGTCAACACGGATTTTACTCGCGTTGACCGGATTGGGTCGGGTAGTGTCCCTTCGGTTCAGGTTTGGTTTCCATCTCTATTAGCAGGATATCAGCCACTCACATGGCCTGCTAGCGGAAAAAATTAGAAACCTCCTTGATCGTGATTGGCTTGTTAGTCATGTGTATAGAGAAAAGAACTTTGTTGCTGATTTTTTGGCATCCAAGGGTCATACATGTACATGGGCGCTGGGCCGGGCTTGGGCTAGCACGACATGGGCATGCTTCTGGCCCATTTATTTCGTGTCGTGCTTGGCACGGCCCGTCAGTTTTTGTGTCGTGCCATGCAAGCCCATTAGTTAACTTTGCTAGGCCCGGCCCAGGCCCGGGCACGGTTGGAATCGTGTCGTGCCTATTCGTGCTCGTGCCATGCTCATATTCGTGTTTAATGAAAAGGACGAAAACAAAAGAGAGAATGGAAATGAAGGTGAAAATTGGACATGGGAAGATAGTATTAACCGATAATGTTTGAGAAAAGTTACAAATAAGGGGGAAAAGGAAATTGGAAGTATAGCGAGTGTGATTTGGCTTTGTTTAATTCTTTGTCCATTTTTACTTATGTTAGTAATCACGTATATATCTTTATGACACTTCTAACAACAACAAATAATTATTTTTCTACTTGTGTTTTGTAATATTTGAACCTACAATTCTTTTTATATTTATTTTCTATCAAATAAATATTATTTCGTGTCATGTCTGTTCTTATACTCAATAAAGTCTAAAAAATATTAGGCCGGACACGGCCCACTTTTATACCGTGCCCGTGCCCGTGCTCGTGCCGGGCTGACCCATTTATTTCGTGCCCGTGCTCTAACCGTTTCGTGCTGTGCTAGCCCGTGGGCGGCACGGCCCGGTGCCCACGTACAGTCATACCCTTCCTTTTGTATGATTCCAACCTTAAACATTGGTTGTTGTATGATGGTATGAAAACGATCATGACTCTTCCTATTAATATTATACACTACTGTGTCTATCCAAAAAAAAAAAAAAATACTGATGGAGATTAAAAAAAATGTTTGGTATTTTACATCGAAATAACTACATTAACTGGCTAGGGCTTGACAATGTTGGTAATATAGCTCCGATGGGGGAAACTGTTTTCCTCTCTCTGGAGAGGACGCGAGTTCGATTCCAGCCCTTTCAATTTTTGCCATCTTTTCCCCCGCCGGCCGCCGCCGATCGTCTCTTTCGTCTCCCGACTGAAATTCCACCGCCATGGATCACGACGACCCTCCGGCCAATCGCAGGAAGGTAAGCTACCGCCAACTCTGCCATCAAATTTCTCAATACTCACCGGAAAGAAACTCCTCGAGTTTATCAAGAAGGGGTTTCTTAGATCTGAAATTTCTCACTCTATCACTTCCATTTCCTCCAGCAGCTGAAGTTCGCCCCCAAGTCCGCTTCCCAGAGGAAGCCCCGCCTCGCCGCTCCCAAACCGTAATCCCCACTTCCTTTCTTCCTTCCCTCCTCACTGCAGGTAATCTGAATTTCCAGTGTTCAAGTGTCTGATTTTCCATTTTCCGATGTCCTTTTTTTCTTTTGCCGAAATGCAGCAAGACAAGCGACGATGGCAGCAACGAAGACGAAGCTGCGAAAGCTCAGAAGCTGATGACCAGATTCAACGTAAGCCGTCTACCAAATCCCAAGTCCTTTCTCAGTCTGTGAATCTCATAATCTTTGGCTGTTAATTTCCGTTGACACTCGGTTGGACTTAAAACCGCGTTTGTTTCATCCTTAGTCTTTACTAGAAGAGGCTGAATGGCTGATGCTACCAATTCATTAGTAGGGATATTAGTAAACTACTCGTTTGGTGCCAATTGCCAAACATGGAATACGATGAATGAAAGCAAATTATAGTAAAGTTCCAATCTTTAGCCAAAAGATCATGATATTTGGTCCAAATTGCGACTACCAAGTAGAAGAACCAGTGAATCCCTACCTTGACTAGAGCCACTCTCAAGTTACGGTTTTTACATTGTTGCAGGAGAATCTCAAAAGACAGGCTACTAGAGCTGACAAGAAAGGTAGTTAAAGTTCTCATCTTTTAGCTAAATGTTCCGACTTCTGCAGGAGACTTTTGTGGTCTAGTATGTTCGTGTGTTGCTATTATATATGCAGCTGCTCCAGTTGAAGTGGCATTTGGTTCTGGAGCCTCACCGTCGCTATCGATTAGGAAATTTGGTTACCCTAAGGCGGAGGCTAGCCATGTCAAGGCATCAGCAGCGGGGTGGGATTCGGATCCTGATGCTATGCAAATCGATGGTAAGGATGAAGGAGGAGGTCATGGTGCTATTGATCTTAATCGGCAACGAACCAGGAAGAAATATAAAGAGCCATTTGTAAGAAGGAAAATTCAATATTTCTTGTTCTGTGTTCTGGTCTCTTTTTATGAAAAATTCAGACCTTGCTGAAGTTGCTGTTAATGCAGGACTATGAGAGTTACTATCCTATTACCCTTCCCCTGAGGCAGCCTTTCTCTGGTGACCCTGGTATATATACATGTTTGATTATTATTTGTCAAAGAAGTTCCGGACTCGATCTGTTTCTGCTACAGCTTTAGTTAGTTTTGCTGCTACTGTGTTGCCAGATGTTCTGAACAAGGAAGAGTTTGGGAAGGATGCAATGAACTCGGAGTATGATGAGAACTCCATCAAACATGCTTCAGAACTTGGTTTGTTGGTAAGGCTGATATGAATGTGACTATCATTGCCGATCGATGATGTGTTTTTCGTCAGATTTGTGGATTCATATGCTGTGGAAATGATGATGACAGGAGAAATCTGATGAAGCAAAGATGCTTCTCTTCAAGTTCCCTCCCAAGATGCCCTACATTA